TTTCTGAATTGCTGTGCAAATTTCAATCCTAATGCTCGGCTTGCTGGGCTGTGAGCACACACTGACAGCTCAGTTTGCCATCAACATAAAATAAAATAAATGGGCTCAATAAATGGAGATTTTCATCAGCATAAATAAAAAGGGAGTTTTCAACACAGCAGAGGGCAATTTTTTATATTGAGTACCAGTGATAAATGCTAAAAACACCCAAACCCCAAAGCTGCTGGGGGAGTGCCCATCCCTGGAGGTGTCCAGGGAGCAGATTCCAGAGCTGTGTGTTCCTCCTGGAAATTAGGCAGCTCCAGAGCTGCAATTCTGCATTTCTGCTTTTTGCTTGAAGGCAATATTGAACCCACCTGATAATTCTGTGGCATTGATCAATCTGGGATTGAGAGATCTGCAGGGGACAGGGTGGGGCTGGCCACAAACTGGATTGCACCTTGGAAACCTTTTCCAACCTAAATAATTCTGGGATTGTGTGTGATTGAATTAGCAGAGTTTTGCTGGAATTGGGAGTTTGTGGGAAACCCCCCATGCCTTCCCCACACTGCTGCTCTTGGCTTTGGGGGCTTTCCTTGTTGTTATTTAGGACTTTTTTTAGGCTTTTCTAATCCAGATTTCACCCAAAGGAGAAGAAAATTTTCTGTTCAGAGTGGGGATATCTCAGTGATGTTCTTTACTTCTCCCCAGCATTTCAGGGAAATATTCCCACCCCACTTTTGGGGATCTCAGTAAATGAAGAGCCAGGAAAAGGCAGCTGGGGCCAGAGGAGCTGTGTCTGGAGGCCCAGGAAAGCTGAAAACTCAGCAGAGAGGCCCTTTTACCACTCCCACAGCATGGAAGGAGCTAAACCCCAACATCCTGAGGTGAAAAGTCCATCCTGGAACTGACTGCCTAAGAAGGGTTAAAAACAGCCCAACCCAAAGCTCATGGTGGAGTGGCTTTAAGAGTAAATTTTATTTTATTGTATTTATTTTTTTGTAAATTTTTAATTGTATTTTTTAAAATTATTTTGGTAAATTTTATGTCTTTTATTTTCTAACCTATTAAAGGTAACCTGTATTTATTCCCTATCAAAGGTAACCTGCATTTCATTACAACTTCCCCCTGTATAAATTGTGGTTTTCTGCCATCTCCAATTTATATTTTAGCAATAAAGCAAAGCAATGCAAGGGCTGCAAAGATGCAATCTCTGAGATATTTAACCCCAATATCCTGGGAACTCTGCTGCAGCTCATGAAGTGTCCAGGCTGGAATTCAAAACCTCCACTTAACCCCAGCCAGATTGCAATTAATATTAATGACTTACAGGACAAGTTCAGCCCAACATTAAGATTATTTTAAAATACTACTACTTTTTAAATCCAAGATTTCCTGTTTGATAGCTGAGAAGCATGGGAAACTCTTCTGCATGAAACTGAAATGGACTCATTAATAAAATATGGAGGATGCGCTACCTTAAAGCAGGAGGAGGAGAAAAAAAGAAGTATAAATTGGTGATAACGTTATTTCTATTTTTAAACCCATCCCACAGAGTCACCCAAGATAGATGAGAAGTGCTAAGCCCATCTCACAAGCTTATTTATTTATTTAATACTTCTTACACGCTATTTTTAACAGCAGCAGCCAGGAAAGGCATCCATTAGAAAAATTACACGGGGAGAGTCTTCCTCACAGCACAGGAGTGACACATCTGCCTGAAAGCAGCCTCACAGGAGATTTTTTTTTTATTATTTTTTTCCCCTCCCTTTCCTGTAGGATCAGAATCCTGTAGGATTCTGGCATAAAAAAAGCAATTTTATTTTGGCAGCATCGGCTCAGGCCGAGTCCCTGGGTGCAAAATGTGGATTTTTCAGTCCTTCCTCACTGCCCAGCCTCCTCCTCTCCCTCCTCCCCTTTCTGCAAGGTTTCATTTTCTCAGGAGCCCCTGGCTTGAACCCAGGGACAGGCAGATGTGGATGTGGGGCTTGCCCTGGGTTTTCATTTTTAAAAGCCTCTTGTTGTACATACAGATAATAAATGAAACACCACAGCCCCTGGCATTGCAGCATTTTGCAGAAGAAGAAATTATAATATAATAATATATAATATTTTTATATATATATAATTAAATTATATAAAATCATTATCTAAATTTTATTATTATTTATAAATTATTAATTATTAATATTATCTAATATTATTTATTATCCAAAAATTATTATATAATATTATATATTATTATATATTTATACATAAAAATACATATATATAGTATATATTAAAATTATATATTATTATATATAATTGTTATTATATTATATATTATTTAATATATATTATTAAAATTATTAATATATATAATATTATATATATATATATATATATATATATATATATATATATATATATATATATATATTAATAATTTTTAGAAATCTTTCATTTTTTTTCATAGATTTAAAGGAATTTATCTAACAAATGTTGGGTTTTCTTGGGGAAATATTTAAGATTCCCACCAGGAATACAGAGGGGCATCTCCAGGGATGGGGATCCAACCCTCCCTGGGCAGTTCCAGTGCCTGAGCTCCCTTTCCATAGGGAAATTCCTGCTGGTGTCCAACCTGAGCCTGCCCTGGCCCAGCCTGAGGCTTAATTTTCATCCAAACTATTCTATAAAAGACAGAGCGTGGGCAGGTAAAGAGATCTAGAAGAAAAAACCCAAAAACAAACAAAAAAAAAAAAGACAAAACTGAACAGAACAAAATAAAACAAAAACAACAAAGAAACCAAACAAAAACACAAAACAAAGAAACCCAAAACCCAACAAACAAAAAAAAATGCAACTAAAAAACCAACCAAACGAAAAAACCAAAACAAAAAACACACCAAAAAAAACACCAAAAAAACCCCCCAAAAATAACAGGAAAACAAAACAAAACAAAAACAAAAAACAAACAAAAACAAAAAAAACCAAACAAAAACAAACAAACAAAAAAAAAACAACCAAAAAACAACCAACCAAACAAAAAAAACCCAAAAAAAAAAACCCCAAACCCCTCCCAAAAAACCCCCAAAAAAAGCCAAAAAAAGGGCTAAAAGATGAATTTCAGCAGTGCCAGTGGTGACCATGAGGGCAGAGCCCAGCAGCTCCATGGGGAATCTGAGGGAAGCTCCACGAGATCCCAGGATCCTGCTGCAGACACCACAGCTGCATTTCCCCACAGTCATTCCCCCTGTTCCCCAGTTTTGCCCAAAATAATGAGAGGATTTGCTCCATCATCTCCTCACCCATGGCACTGACCATGGAATATTTGGATTTCTAGGAGCAGCAGCTTTCTCTGGACTGGGGAGGTCACACTGAACGGAGAACTTTGCCAACAGCCGATGCCCAAACGTGTCAGAAAGCTGAATAAATACAAATAATGCAATTCTGTGGGTAGAAAAATCCCCAGTAAGCTCCACATCCTGGATAAAAATTGTAAATATTCTCTGTGTTTGGAATTCAGCCTCAAGCCAGGCCTGCCTTGGGCAGCAGAGCCCCTGGTACAGCTTTGATTTCTGACTTATTTCTCAGATACTCTGAATATTCTGCATGTGGGCCTTAAAAAGCAGATTATAAGCTGCCAGCAGCAGGCAGGACTCAAAGCAAACTGCTGGAAAAACAGATTTAAGAGCTCACATCCATTTCTTTTTCCCAAATCTGGGAGCCTTGTACCTGCCCATGAGACAGCCTCTGTTTCCTGAGCCAGCCCAGGGACTGCCCTGTGCCCCCAGAGCCAGACTGAGCCTTGCAGGCAGGATGGAACTGCTCCAACTTGGGATTTCTCCACCTCCTCCCTCCCAGCCACCAGCTCTTATGCCACTCTAACAAGGGGCAGCACAGCCCCAAGGTGCCAAGCACCTTCTCTGCAGGGTTTGATGCCATAAATTGAGAGTTTTCCCCTGAAGTGCTGCTGAATGAACAGCCCAACGCTGCCAAAACAGCTCATTCATGGGGGCTCATCAAATTCATGGCAGAAATAATATCCCCCTCGCTGCTCCTGCCTCCAAATTTCCATTTGTTGAGAGAATTATGTTTTTACCAGGTTTTGGTGTGGTCAAACAGACTCAGACCCCCACAGAGAGGAACTTCCCCACATTAAAGACAATTTCTGAGGGCTGCAGCCTGATGTGAGGGACACACCACAGTGAGATGTAACCTGGATTTTATTCCACCTTCCTCACGTATAAATTGAGTTTTCCTGGCACCTGCAATTGATATTTTAGCAACTAAAAACAACGCAGCAACTCCCTTAGGTCTGCAAAAATGCAATTTCTGAGTTATTATTTCCATTTATCCAAATGGTGACTTGATCAGTAATTTCTTGCCAGCCCCCTCTCAGTGTATTTCTGTTAGGAATAGAGGGAAGTGATTTATTTCAGAATTGTGGAGTAAGGGAAATATTTCTTGGAAAAAAAAAAAAATCCCACCCAGCAGGATTCAGAATAACAAAACAAAGGGGAAAGTACCCAAAATAAGAGCTTGCACTTTATCTCAGACAGGATCTAACAGCAGATTGCCAGCCCCAAAGTTTTGGGGATTTTTTTCAGGCTCTTCAGAAGAGAAAGTTTAAAAAAAACCCCAACAGTTCAAGTGCCAAAGAAACTCATAAAATCAGGAGGGAAAAATAATCTACTTCCTCACAAAGAGAAGCTGGGGAAAAAGTTATGAAAATGGTGCCTTGGAGCATCCAGGTGCTCCAAGAGATTACAGAAAGTCCCAAGTGCTGCCTGCAAAGATCAGACTCAAGCTGAGTATTCCCATGGACCACATCATCCATTCCACTGCAGGAACTACCACAAAAAGCAGATTTTCTTGGTCCCTCTGCATATTAACACCGTTTTGCTTGGAAACTCTGAACAGGAGCACACCCACACTGAAACCCAGATATTTTAAACCATTCCATCACTGATTTTTGGGGCAAAACCATCATGATTTTAACCCCTCTGGAGAGGCCACATCCTGAGAGCTGCACCTACCATGGGGTAGTGTTATGTTTGCACCATCAATGATTGCTTGTGCCAGTTCGTGGTCGTTGCTCTCAAAGGCGTGGGCAGCAGCCTTGAGGGCATCCCAAATCTCCTTCCTGCCCTCAAAGGCCGGGGCTGTGTCCCAAAATTCATCCCTCTTACTGCGGAGCTGCCCGTCCGTCATGGGGTAATCGCTCTTCCATTTGGGCTTCTCCTTCTTCAGGGGCTGGTTACGACCAAGGGCCACTGTGGGGGACAAAGAAAACAGGGACATCATCAAAAGAACACCACGAAACTCCCTTTGGTAGCTTTGTTTTGGATTTACAGTGATGCCTCAGGTTTAGCTTTTGTATTTTTCACATTCTGTGCTGCTTTAGTGTCTGGGTCTGAGCTTCACATCAGGGCATGGTGAGCTCTGTGCACAGAGCAGGGACACAAAACAATTCCTGCTCCAGCTGGGCACCAAGGACAAATGATCCAAATCTCAGCCCCAGAGCACAAACCCCGTGGGCTGGAGAGAGAAAAACAAGGATGGGACTGCAGGGGCTAAAGCTGGAATGGGACAATGAACTGCAAGATGCAAATGGAGCAGAACTGATCCCAGGGACAGAGCCCGTGCCCGGCCGTGCATTTTGGGGCCATTTTGGGTCATCTTGGGTGCAGCCCTGGCTGGGCTATGGTGCTGCCCATGGTGGGTCCATGGAGGAGATATTTTAATAAATCCCTGCTTTATTCTTTAGCTCTGTCTGGTCTCTGCTCTGGCTCAGCCTTCCCAAGGCACCCCCAGAGCTGAATTTCCAAGCCTGGTCCTTTTTGTTCCTCACCTCCCAGGTGATGCAGTGAGAGGGGTGTTATTCATGTACTGCTCATGGTTCAGATCCTCATTTCTTGAGAGAATTATGGTTTTACCGGTCTTGTATGGTCAAAACCAGACTCTGAGTCTCCTCAATTTCCCCAAGAGGTCAAAGCATCATGGAGCTCAGAAGAAGGGAGGTGATATGGATGTGGGCCATGCAATTGTTATTTGCTACTTTTAATTAGGAGCTGACTTTGTTTCTGTGCAAATGCATCCTCCTGCTTGCTGATTTCCCCTGGAAATCCAGGAATCCATCAAGGTTTAAAGAGCATTTTCCTCCTTCTCAATAAACACAACCCCATTTGTTCCCCTTTAACTACAGCTATTTTTGTGTAATAGCCTCTTTGAGGTTATCACAGGTATAAAAGTTGACAGATTAAAACTCCCTGCTCTCATCCCCATCAGTGCCTGGTGCTGCAGCAGGAGAGTCCAAGTTCACAGAGGTTTTAAGGAGACCAAAAGCCCTAACAGGAGGTTAAGCCTTTATCCAATCTGACCCCATATGAGCAAAGAATGATCAGGTTCCTTTGCTAGCTCAGGCTGACAGACACGTCCATGAACCTGAAGTGTAAGGCATGGAGAAGAGGAGTTTGAAAAGGATTCCTGCTGGTGAGCCAACATTGCCAACTATGCAGAGGAATGAGCTTTCTGTGGATTAAAAAACATGGGAGAATGGGTTGGGTTGGAAGGAACCTTAAAAATCATTTAATTCCACCTCCTGCCATGGGCAGGGACACCTCCCACTACCCCAGGGTGCTCCAACCCAATCCAAACTGCCCCTGAACACTGCCAGGGATGGGGCCATTCTTCCCAATATCCAATCTAAACCTGTTCCCTGTCAGTGTGAAGCCATTCCCAGGGTCCTGTCCCTCCATCCCCTGGGAAGCCTCTCCCTCCATCTTTTCCTCTCCCTCCATCTGCAGCTCCTTCAGACAATTGTGTCACCCCAAAGCCTCTGCAGCTGAACCATCCCAGCTCTCCCAGCAGAGCTGCTCCATCCCTCCCATCCTGGTGGCCTCCTACATTTGCACAGAAACAAAGTCAGCCCCTAATTAAAAGTAGCAAATGACAATTGCATGGCCCACATCCACCGACTCCAGCTGCTCCTCGTGTCCCACGCAGAACACAACAATAATCAACTTTTAAATGCTTTCAAGTGACCACAAGCATTTATTGCTTTTTGTTTCCACGGGATTGCTTCCATGGGACTGCTTCCATTTGCTTTTCAAAGCAGTGCTGACCATTTAGCAGATTGCAGAGCAGCAAGCCCCAGTGTTTACAAAACACCAAGTTTCCTGGCAGAGCCCGGCCTTTCCCAGTCCAAGGCCCAGCTGAGCAAGCCTGGAGGATGATGCTGGGGCAGCCTCAAGCAACGGGGTTGTGCATTAAACCCTGTACATGCTAAAATTCTAAAAACATATGTGGGAAAAACACTCCAACAAGGAATTGCTTCCTTATTAAGGATTAGCGGCCAGAGCATGACATTTTCAGCCAGACAGAACAGGACACACTGCAAGAAATTTGGGTCAGTGGATATCTTTTTTTTTCCATTCCACTTTAGCTCACATCTGCTTGCATCCACTCAATGGATGCAGATTTGTCCCACAGGGCCCTCTCCTTGTCCCCAGCCATCAATTATGGAAGCAGGTTAAAGGCACTTCCCGCAGCCCCACTGCAAATCCAGCAGCCCATTCCTCTCCCTGCTTCCCACTCTGCCTCAGACTGCACCCAGATTTATTAAAAATTGATTTATCCTCACTCCAGCAGAGGCTCAGATCCTCACAGCCTCCAATAACTCCTCCCTGGAGATCCCATCCTTCCCACACACACAGCAGTGATCATAAACCCAGCGATAAATTCTTTCTTTTCCAAGTTGGAAGGAAGGCTGGTGGAAGAAAGGGACTCTCCAAATGGCTCCAAAGCCAAATCCACTCTAACAAGCCATCCAACCCAGTACTGAGCCTTTAAACACCACTTGGCTTCAGCACAAGCCAGTATTTAAAAAGATCTTTGGTGTGTTTATCATTTAATAGAAGTGCTTCAAGGATCCCCAAAAAGCTTTATGCCTTCCCTGAAGAAATATTCATTATTTAGCTCTGTGGCTAGATGGGGCAGAAAGGATGAGAGAAACTTATGCCATGTAAAAAAAATAATGTGCAAAAAGGCCCAAATATTTCTCTTTCCAGCCCGTGTTTTAGTCACTAAAGCAAAACATGCGAATTTCTACAACCAAACTTTCGGACCACATCAAAGCACTTTCCCTTTTCTGTTAACAAGGCTGATAAAGAAACAAACATCAACAGTCTGAACCACTTAAAAGTATTTACAGTGTCAGTTTTCTGTTCCTCACTCTGGAAGGAAATTAGAGCTCAGAAGGAAATGTTGCCTTCATTTAAGACCATACCCATCAGAGGCACCAGCAGCTTGCAGGATCCAGAAGAGAAAGCAGCATCCACATTAATTTTTCATCTTACATCACTTCAACACGAGTAAGAAATTATTAATACCCTGCTGGAAAGCAGGAATTGTTTTCCAAATGCCAAGAAGGAGGCACGTTCTGTCTGAAGCAATGCTCCAGGTCACCCTCTCAGCAGAGACCAATGGTTGATATTTTTGGCAAGGGATTTATTTAGAAGGAAATACGGAAATCAGCACTGGTCTGCTTTTCAAAAAGTGAAATATCAGCAGCCACACTCCAAAATGAGCTAGGTTGCTGTTCCAGCAGCTCAGGTGTGCGGGTGGGGCTGTGCATCCCAAAGAGGGTAAGAAATGCACCAAGTTTAGGCTGGAAAAACCCTCCCAGACCATCAAATGCAGCCTGTGCCACATCCCCAGCTTGTCCCCAGCCCAGAGCACCCAGGGCCACCTCCAGGAATTCCCTGGGGCTGGGGCTCCAAACCTCCCTTCGTGTCTGCTTGGAAAGGTGATGGATCAAAGACTGGCCACAAACTCTTCTCAAAGTTCTTTTCCAATCCTAATAATTCTGTTTAATGCCTCAAAGTGCCCCAAAGCAGTGGCACACAAGCCATGAGCTGTTCCTGTGGGATTTAGCAGCATTCCCTGTTTGCCCTTGCTACCCTGGCATCCCTGAGGCAGCTGCTCCTGCCTGCCCCACTGAACTCCTGGCAGGCTGCAAAGTCTTATTTTTCAGAAGGAGAAAATGTATTTCTCCAATCCTTGCAGACTGTTTCATCACCTGAATTGTAAATTTATTTCCCTTCCCCGCAGCTTCCCATCAAAGCAATGAATCTGGAAGGTTATCTCTGCTCCTTATGCAGATAAACCCAGATATTTAAATCAGTTTCTTAACAGGATGTCAAGAAATGTCTCAGTGGAAGCTCTTTGGAGCAGCTGGTGTGTTTGTTATGTCGCTATCACTGTGGATATCACTGTGGATATCACTGGTGCCTCTTCTGAGGGGGACCAGATGAGCAGGAGCAGCTGCTACCACAGGATTCTTGTATTAAAAGCCAATATCCAGCTACAAAGTCTATAATTCCTAATTTATACCACCTGAATTACAGCACTCCATCATCAAACTGGGAATATCTCAGCCCCAGGGGGTTTTGTGTCAAATCAAACACGGCCAAGCTGAGCCAGGGGACATCTCAGAGCTCTGGAGGAGGGCAGAACTGATAATGAATATTTCTTCAGGACTGATCTCTGCTTCAAGTGTGACCTGGATCTTCCTCCTCCCCACTCCCTGCCCTGCCAGGTAACCCTGGATGAGACCTGAAACAGCCCTGAAGCAGCTGAGCTCAAATTTGAATTATCTGTGGAAACACCTCTGCTGCCATCATCCTTCTGTGAGTTTTCCCTCCCACCCCATCCTTCAAACATCTTTCACCTATTTCTAAAACTAAAATTAGGACCAAATTTGGCTGTTCCATCCCTGCAAGTGCTCCACAGTGAATTTCCTCCTTTGCCTTGGAAACACAAGCATATGTTGCTTGCAGCATTAGTCTTTTACAGCTTTTGTAAAAAGCAGAGGAAACTGGTCCAGTTACAAGAACAGGGCCTGGCTGTGCTTCCCAATCCCTGCAGACTGGGGGGAGGATGGACACACAGCCAGAAAGCACCAGGGAGGGACAGGCCACCAGTGAACACAAGTTAGGAGCAGATACAGGCAAACGTGCCAAGATCAAAATGGTGAAATGTTGCAATAGGAGAATCTGGCAAGATTTATTTTATATATAAAATATAATAATAAATATATTATTTATAATAGTGTTTATTTCATATTATTTATATTATTATATTTTTATATATAAAATTATATTATCGTTTTATTATATATATTATTATATTATAGAATATAATAATAAATACATTGTTTTTAATATTGTTTATTTTATATTATTATTATATTGTATATAAAATTATATATTAT